TAGAATATATACAAAGCTTTTATGATATAGAATTTCATTCACTACTCAGTCCCACTCATTATTGCTAAAAAAGCAATTGTGATTAGGAATTTCTTGTAAAATCATAAATCAAAGTGGCAAAACGCTGATTATAATTTGCTCTTGATTTTATTTTTTAAGTGAACATTTTAATGAAAATATTCATCAATCAATTGACAAAGCCAATCGAATAAAACTATTTATTTATATCAATTAATTAAATGTCACGCTATCATTGCTGTAACAAGTGAACGACTAAGTGTAGAAAATAAATATTTATGTATGGAAAATTTGGAAATGGAAATAAATTAACAAATAACTATTTGTTTGCCGAAACCAGCAATATTGGTACTATATCTGCTACACTGTCATGGACAAATGGCAGCAACTCTTATTACAAATTTGATTAAGTTTACAAACTATTCAAACTTCCTGTCCCAATATTGGATAACACCACATGTAATATAACTCTTAACTATATTAAAAGATATTTGCAACAACTTTCTGTTTGGAGGAAAAGCCTAACTTCTTGGTAGGACTTTAGCCAAATACTACTTGTTGTGAAGAGGTAACCAGCTGAAGTTGTAAAAGCATGTATAAAATGCACTCTACAGTGTCAATGGCTGCAAAAGTTTGCATTAATTGAAAATGTGAAGTACATGATGAGAGAATTTTTTAATGACAGCAGTATTGACTAAATAAATATCAATATTGACTGGGAAAAGTCAAAACTTACTTAACTACTGATTAAATTGAGACTGACATCATGAATGAAATTTTTTTTGAACAGCTTAACTCATTCAGGTACACTTCTTTGTTGTTTAAAATGGGTTGTGTAATTAAATTACTTAGAAATTTAGATTTTAGAGCTATGCAATTGTACTTAAATGAAAATTTAAATACAATCATTTAATAGGGTTAGTGTTTATCTTTTAAAAAAATGCTTCTCCTGGGCCAATTACATTTTAAATGATTTAGTTTGACTTTGTGTTCAAGAACAAGAGCATTTAGTAGTTTAATTGGTGTTGAGTACATACCCAATAAAGGTTATACCTGGTGAAAAAATGCTCACAAATATTTTACTTAATGTTCTTGACATGATTTATAGGTGATGTTACCAGGCAACAAGTAGAGCTAGGTTTTAATCCTAGCCAGCAAAATGTTACTATGTAGTGGTGTTAATTGACAGCATTTAGTATCTAACAGTGTTACTATTGCTAGACTTTTTACTCTCTGGCAATATAGTAATGTCATAAAACATTGTGTTGTAAATAGTGAGCATTATTAAGACTTATTAACTACTTTTTTAAGATTTGGCAGCCTGTATATGGCTTAACAACTTGGTTTGATAACTGATGTTAAAAAGTTTTTTTATAAAAAAAAAAAAAAAAAACAGTATTACAGGTTGCTAATTGCTAGTAGGTTATGAATCAAGCAACTTTTTTAAATTAATCTCTATTTACACATAAATGTAAATCTCCATCTTGTTTTATGAGAACAACAATTGGTGGAGATCCATCACTACCAGACAGAACACTTTGAAGCAATCTTTTTTTGAATAATTAAACCCTGATTCTTTGTACAATATTCTGCAACAATAATTTGAACAATACTTATTTTAGACTTAAATTCTTGGGTTGCCTCAAATTCTCCTAAAACCTAAATAACTGACTTATTAAATTAATTCAGACAAAAATAAAAATTTAATAATATAGGTTTATATATAAATTTCCAAAATTTTCTTGGTATAATTGTGACTGGACAATATCAACTTAGATTTTGATTTGTTTGTTTTTATTTTGATGTTTGTTTCTGATTCTAGGTAATTTATAATAATCAAATAAAGCTCTATCATACTTAAAGTTTAACTTGCTATTATTTTTCAGCCATATCTATTTGCATTCTTGTGTTAAAAAGTTCATTGTACTTGCATTTATTTGGTATTTTTTTTTTTTTAATTTAACTGAAGGATGGTCTACACTCAATGTTTTTTTGTATAATAAAAGAGGATATTCCTTCAACTGTCTAATGAAGCCAACACATAGTTTAACAATTGGCAATTCTCTATATAATAGCATTTTAAAAGTTTCAAATATCTTACCAGAGGATTGCAGTCTATTGATTAATCTAATTTAAATCCTATTATATCCTACACTTAAGCTAAAATTAGTTATTTTTGAGATCTCAAGTAGACAGACAAACAGTTTTAATTTCAAGGGTAATTTCTAATTTAATTCCTCTAGGTTCATCATAAAAAAATTCTTTTTATTGCCTTAACTCTTGTTTTCAACAGAAATAAGCCAGTTATAGAAACTACTGTTTACCTTATCTGTTTACTTGATTGAGCAGCATCTAATCCAAAATTCGTCTGTTAAAATTGACCAAGTTTATTCTCTTTATCCATTTGCCAATATTGTTTTTAGTGGTAAATTAAATGATTGTCACACTGAATGGTTTAGCAAAAATGAAAGATTCTGAATGAAAAACTTTAGAGACCTCTCTAATCTTTCTAAACTATGCTCTCTAAACTTAAATTAATCGTGTTTGCTTTAAAAGTTTCTTCATGCTCAAAAAACTTTTATTCGTCTATTTTTCTTCCTCAAACATTGGTGCTTCAGAATTCTCAATTTTGTGTTTTCCTGAATTAAATTTTCAGTTGTTTTTTTTACCGCTATTTTTTAATTCTTTTTATTGCTTTCCATTAACTCTCTTATGACATGTTACTATTATCACAATATACATCAAACTTTTACTTCATTATGATGAGATAGCAAGAGTTTTCTTTTTAAACAACTTCAAACACAATATTTAAAAATTGATATCAAACACAATATTGAAAAATTGACTCAAACTTTAATTTTTTTGAATCGCAAACTGATATTATATACACAACATTTAATCAAGCAAATTTAGTTCATAAATTTTTAATTGGGTTATTTTATTGGGACGTTTCCAGCATTGAACTCGTCATTATTTATTGCTATTTTAAATGGGTCCAATTTTGGCTCTTTGAGAATTTAGGACTTCAAAAAATTTCAAAAATGGCTCCAGATGAACCCGCAAGACTGAAAACTCTTCCAAGATTATCAAATGGAAATATACTTAGTTTTCAAATTGGAGTAATCAAGCTTAGCGATTTTGGTGAGTATACAAAAAATAAAGAACAACATCAATTTCTTTTGCAAGTCATTAAAAAACAGAGAAAACAAAATCAATCTATTTTGAAATTAAAAAAAATTAATATTTTATTGCAATATACTTAAGAAAAATAAAGTTAATGGTCAAATTCAACAATGTTTGACAGAAATTTTTGGTTGCACATGGTGGACAAGCAGACATTAAAAAATGCAGTCATAGAGGTCAAATTTGCCTTTCACACAGTAATTCATGATATGAGCTTCAAAATATCTGACTGTACTTTGAAATTAATCTCAAACTTGATGTCAAGCATAACATTTTATGTTTTGGCATACCTTCATTGGTAAAAGAGTTATAAGTTGACAAAAAGAAGACACATTTTGTAAGCATTTCTAATGACACATCAGATAGAAAAAAACTATCATTAATCGTTGTCAGATTTTTTACTACTGGAAGGTGTCAATGTGAAACTGCTGGAACTTGAATCTCTTGATGGTGAAACATTTTAAAAAATGACTGATAAGCTAATTTTAACATAGCAATGTCATTTTTTATTAATAACATTAATAAAAAATTAGCTTTTTGTTTTTACAATTGTATCATACATTTTGGTGGAAAGAAGAACATAGAAGATGTAAAAATAATGTTTATAACCAGCTTAATTATGAACTTGATATCAACAATTAGCATTGGATGCTGTCTTTGATATTCTGCCAATAGAAATTGAAGCTCTTGGTTTAAATATTCATATTCATCACTCTCAATTCCAGTAACAAAGAAAAAGAAGTTCTACAAATTTCTAGATGTGGAATATAGGAAAACAATCCAGCACGAAAATATTAATTTCTTACTCAGTTGCTGGTAATTGAAAACATTTATAGTAATTTTATCTCACAATGGACAAAATAATTGCTAAAAAAACTTAGTACCCAGAATGTTAATACATTTATGACAGTGGCAAAATCTTCTTATAGACAATGTATTTCTTATATTGAACTTTAGGAAAACAGTTTTGGTGGTGCTGTGTTCACACGAGTTACATATTAGAATAGGAAGATATTGAACCATTAAACTATCTGCTAAAGTTATAAACAAAATATATGCTTTAAATGATCAACAAAAATTTAATAGTTGCAGTTTTTTGAAGAGCAAAATTTATTTTATTTTATTTTTGCAACAAAAAAGGAAAAGTGGAATTCATTTAAGATCAAAATAGTCTATGTTGACAAATTGATTCAAATATTCAAACATTTCCAAAAAAAAGACATTGATGTACCTAATTTGGTAAAAGTTAATGAACACATTTTTTGTTAGGTATATAGAGGTTACAACCCTCTCTCAACTCTTAAACTCTGAGACAAGAAACTTGAAAGAAAAGGGTGCGGTGTGGAAAAAAAGGTTGACAGACATGAAATATGTAATACATTTTGTAATTAATTTTCTTTCTTAATTGAAAAAAACTAATAACTTTCTAATTTAAAAAATAAACTCGAAGCAGAAGTCAACTTTGCCTTTCAGTAAACTTCATAATCTCAATTTCAACGAATATTTACGAGTCGTTAATTTCGTGCATACTAGGAAATCTGCAGCTGTAGAGTGTACTTTCAATCATAAACATATTTGGTTGAATGAACAAGGTCTTTTGGTGAAGTCTACCGAACAGACATAACTGAAAATTGAACTTTGCTATTTTTTTATAAAAAACATAAAATAATTGAAACTTGCTAGAAAAAGTGCATTCTAGCAAGAAGTGGTTTAATATCAGTTAGTAAATTTTATTTTGTATTTCTTTTGTCAGACTTATAATAAAATTTAAGACAATAGCTGAATAGAATTTTAACTACCTCTTTGTGTTTCCTACTCTGTAAATGCGTATTCCACATAATTTCATTTTTAACAGTTAAATCACAAACAATACACACAATTTGATCTAAATTATTATATCTTTTTAAGTTGAAGAAAAATATTGAACAATGATTTACAAAATAGTAAAAAATCGTTTTTTAAATTTAATTAAGCAAGAGATAATAACTTAAAAGTTATTATCTCTTAAAAAACAGCCTGAAAAAAGCTTATATGTAAATACATTCCACATTGTATCAAAGAGATATCATTTTAAATGTCATAATTTTACCAAAAATTAAAATTTAATGAGTAGTACATACTTTTTAATATTATAAAAAAATAACAGAATAACCTAATTTCCTAAAATATATATGTACTTTGCTATGACATCGCAAATGGTGGACGCTTTTTTCAAACCGTTGAAAATAACTTTTAAAAAAGTAAAAAAGTAAAAAAGCAAAAACATTTATAAATTAAACTAAAAATGAAGTCAACAAATATAAAGAATATATAAAGAATAAATAAATCTTTTAAAAGAAGAAAAGAAAAAGAAACATCTGAAAGCAAATGAGTAAAAAAGTAACGAAAATAGAAGTTAAAAAAAAACGTTTATGAATGAAATATATAAAAACAATGGCAAAGAATGAAAAAAAAAACTATTTAAAGAGCAGAACCTCTATCAGCAAATTAAGTTTTTTATTTATTTTTTCATACATTTTCTTAGTTTTCTTTCATATATTTCTTGGATTATTTATTTTATTATTTATTTATTTTTCTTCAATTTTTTAGCGTATATAGTTTTACTTGTTAGTCATTTGTTTGTTTTTTAGTTATTATTTATTTTTAGTGTTATATAAATTTTTTATACAGTTATATATTATTTGTTTTTATTTTCATTTTAGCCATTTTTTATATATGTTTAATTCTACCATGCATTATTATTATTATTTTTTTAATTATAAGTGTGTTTTTTGTTGTTGTTTGATTTGTTTATTTTGCATAGTTTTTTGTTTTGTTTCATAATGTTTGTCATAACTTGTTTTGTTTTGATTTTCTAAGTGTTTTTCTGTTTATATTTTATTTATTTATTTGGTCATAATATTTGCAATATATTTTAGTAATACAAACTGCTGTAACGATGATTGTCGCGGAGCATAAAGTTTAAAATTTATACTTTAACAGCCGTTAACAAATGTTTATCTAGTCTAGCTTTAAAAGAATTTACTATCATTGCAGAAACCACTTTTTCAGGTAAAGCATTTCAATGAGGTATCACTCTGTTCGTAAAAAAATTATGTCTCGGTGTTGTTTTTGCAAATTCTCTTTAAAATTTCATTGGATGACCTCAAAGTCTCTGGGAAGAAGCTTTATTAGGCTTTTTATACCACAATATCTTATCAACCCCAGTTGTTAATTTGAAGAAAGCAATGAGATCTCCTCTTGTCTTAATACGTCTTGTTTCCAGAGTTGTGAGGCCCAACTTTGTCAATCTTTCGGTATAACTTAGATGTTTTAGTTCAGGGGCTAGCTTTGTTGCTCGTCTTTGAATTTTTTCTAGGTCATTAATATTGTTTTTATTACTTGGAATCCACACTGGAGCAGCGAATTCCAAGAGTGGTCTAACCAGCGATGTGTATAGTTGCCTTACCATTTCAGTGTTAAGATAAGTAAAGCTTTTTCTTATTAAACATAAGATTCTTTGTGCTTTACTTGAAGCTACTTGAACCTGATGATTCCATTTCATATTGGATGAAACTATTACACCCAAGTCTAGTTCTTTTGTTGTTGTTTTTAGAAGAAAACTTTGATTGTCATGCTTTATAGTGTAGTTATAGTTAATATTTTTTCTTCATTTGACCATTCAGTTAACAAATCAATGTCATTTTGCATATTAGTTAGATCATTATGTTCTTTTATAACAGATATGATTTTAGTATCATCAGCGAATAATTTTGCGATTGAAGAGATACATTGGGGAAGATCATTGATATATAACAGAAAAAGAAGAGGACCCAATACAGAGCCCTGTGGTACACCACTATAAACCTCGCACCAATCTGATACAACTTCACCCATTACCACTCTTTGTTTTCTGCTTTTTAAAAAAGAATCAACCCAATTTAAAATATTGCCTTTAATTCCATAGTTAGAAATTTTATGTATAAGTCGATAGTGGGGCACCTTATCGAACGCCTTTGCAAAATCTAGGAACAATATATCAACTGGATAACCATTTTCAATTTCAGTTGTAATAATATCGAAAGTTTCTAATAGGTTTGTTAGGCACCCTTTATTTTGTACAAACCCATGTTGTTGAGACGTTAACAGATTGTTTTCTGTTATATAAATTATCAGTTTTTTTCTAATTATTTTCTATATTATCTTACTTGGTATCGATGTTAAGGAGATAGGTCTGTAGTTGATTATATATTTTAACAATTTTGATTATTATATTTTAACAACTATGATTATATTAATATATTTACTAAATCTTTATAATTTTTTTAGCAGTAGTCGTTTTTATGTCATCGTTAGTTGCTACGTTTTGTCAGTTTATTACTGTTTGTAACTGTAACTTTGTATGTAAAAATGATTGCTGAATGGAAAGTAACACCGCTGTATTTGAATTATTATAACTACTTTATTATTATTGTTATTATTATTATTATTATTATTACTATTATTAATATTATTATTACTAAAATTAATTGTATATTTACAATTTTTTTTTTTTCAGGTATTTACTTGAGATTAGTATTTCAATACTATTTGTAAATAACCTTGAAAATTTATTTTCAGAATATATATGATTGATTGATTGATACTAATATATTTAGTAACTTTTGAGAATTTTAATGATTCCTTATGTCATAAGGACCTAGACAATTCAATACTAAATAATCATATTTATCAAATCAAAAATTCTATTGGATTAGAGACATAAGACTGAGAGAAAAATAAAGTAGGTGGTTTTTAATAATTTGATAGTTTAAATATATTTCAGGCTACTAATTATTCAGATATATTCTTTTAAAAATCAGAAAACAATCTTATTTTGGAGTAAAAGCTACATGCTTATGGTAACTAAAATTTATAAATAGATTTTTTATCTGATGTTTTTATTTTTTCCCTTGAGGTTGAGTATATTTTTGAATAGATGTTTTGAAGAAAAAAGTTTGGTTTTTTGCACACAAAAAATTCGTTACCATATGTGTTAATTAATACCGTATTGTTACAACAACCAATAAAATTTAAAATTACTTTAGGAAAAGATACTTTGCTAATGGATGATTAATTTTTTTAACACTGCCTGCTGCTTTTTGCAGTTTCATTAACTTTCGAAGTTCATCAGCTCTAGCAGCAGCCATTTTTATATATATATATTTTGTTATTACGAATAAAGAGATGTAAACCTTAAAATCGCATAAGTTTGATAAGTTTGGTCACTATGTAACTTTGGTAGAAAACGCTCTTGTAAACGTTGAGTATCCTTAGCGTCCGCTAAGTAGTGGTAGGCTACAAAAATACGCTCAGCGAAGTGCATATACGTCAACTGATTTTAAATATATGTAGTCGCATGAAGTGTACATGAATTATCTATAGCTATAGACAAATTATCAAGAGAGCTCAGGGCCGACGACACGGATTTTAAAGCGGAATGGCACAATCGTCAATTTTTTAAAAAATTTGATATCCGTTATCTGGCCGGATAATAACACTATGCGGTTTTTGATAAGCTGGATATTTCAAGTTAAAGTTATTTAGAAATTTAAAGATTTAATAAACCAAGAAATGTTATATTTTTAAATAATCTAATGTTAATGGTTTCTATTCAATATTGTTATTATTATTAATAATAATTTATTATTTAAATGCTATTAAAATTAAACGCAACAAATACATCAGTTTATCACTCATTTATAAATCTATTTCTATTATGATGAATAAATAATAACATTTCTCCACGTTGAGGTAACAGCCTTGATTGCTTTTTCTCGTAAATATTTCCATATTTGATAAACAATCGCTCCAAAAATACAGAGGATGCTGGAGGTGCTTATAAATTTAAGAACTAACTCTTTTAGAAGTGGAAACTTCTCTTTGTGTTTCCAATAATAAAAAAACGTCTTCTTTTTTTTCTATAATCGAATGATAAAAGAAAAAATCACCTTCTTGAGCAGCTTTTACAAGGGAGAGTTGAACAGGATTTATTTCACCATTTTGTTCTGTAATATAAAACAGTTTAAATACTAAAGATGATTAATTTATTTACATATTTTTATTCAATAAAATGTATAAAGTACTTAAATCAGCACACCAACAACATGCAGAATATTAAAAAAAAAAAACTTAATAAAAAAATTTTCTATATATCAAAAAAGGTTTTAAAATTTTTAAAAGCTTTTTTAATAAACAGAAAGTTTATTAAAAAAGTTTTTTAAATTTCCTTCATACTCTGCAAGTTCTAAAAAGCAGGAGTTAAAATCATTGTCTTCCAATTCAACTTTTTTTTTTTTTGATTTTGGCGTTAAATGGTTGGAGATGGTGGTGGTGGAGCTGGTAGCTCTATTAATAACAGCTGATGAAAGTCCAGTTATATTTCTTTGATTTTTTACTACAGCATCTAACAGCATTGATCTTGCTTGTTCTTTCTTATCAACAGGAAAAAATTCGTGCTTGTAGCGAGGATCAATAATGGTGGGTAATTTGTTATTAAAATTATCATGAGTAAAGAATCTTTTATTTAAAGATTCTATAAGTTGTTTTTATTTGAACTGCGTCATCTTTTTGATCAATATTTGATAAAAATCTTTATAAAATACATATATTCGGAATTATTGTTCATAAACTACAAAGTTCAGAACTCATAACATTAGTAAGTTCATAAAAAGGCTTTAAAGCATGTAATAAATTTTCAATGATTTTCCAATCATTTGATGCAAATGTTGGCAATTCATTATGATCAGCTAAATACATTTGAACTGCTCTTTTTGAAGTTGCTTTAAAATTAAGTACGCACTATTCCTGCGAATAGGCACATCTTGAACCAAAAGTAGAGGTTGTTTTTATTTTGTTGTTGTTGCAGTATCTTAAATTCTGTACGTGCCTTTGATGAATGATTAAAGTGGCCTACTATTCGACGTGGTTTAGCTAATAAATCTATCACTAATATTTGGGATAAAAGTGCATTGTTTATCACGAGCTGCAATAAGTGAATTGTGCAATGAACTGATGTTATTTGAATAAGTTTACTGCATAGTGACATAAATGCAGCACCATCTTTGACTAAAATATATCTTCATAGTGCATTAATTTCCCAGCTTTCTAACATATTTATAAATTTTCCAGCTATGTTTATCCCTGTGTGAGTCTCTGGAAAATGTGAAACATAGAGTGCAGCATTTTTGTGCTCAAAATTTTTTCTAAATCCAACGTCCTGATAAGGAAATAAATGTTTCATGAGATGTCGGACAAGTCCAAATATCTGAAGTAAAACCTGCTGACTTAGCAATTTCGGCGCTGTTTCAGTTTCCTACCCCTATCATTATATGATTGATTTCGATAGAGAATTTCATGTTGATTAAGATTCTTATAAAAAAAACTGACCTGAAAATTTGAAGAAAGTACTCTAATTTGATGTTGAAGTTTAAAAAAATTACACTAAAAACGCAAATATCGACAGCTTTTTAAAAACGTCTTTTAATCGGTTTTCAATCGTTTAGAAAATCTTTTTTTTTAATTGTGCTATCCGATTTTTATTGTCGTCATTATTAGCAAGTTTCATACGACGCGGTTTGAATATCTGAATTTGGCCTGTAGGGACAAAATTCTAGCCGTTGTCACGTTAAATAAGTAGATCGTTAAATAAGTAGACAAAATGATATTCTGCGCATGCGTTAGTTTACGGATACTTATTTAACGTAGTAAGTCACGTTAAATAAGTAGATCGTTAAATAAGTAGATAAATTGAACAATCAAGGCATTATTTGTTAACCCAGACGAATAAATTAAAAAAAAAACGTTAACCGAACTAAAAGCATTTACTTTGTCATGCGAATTGTTATTATTTTATGGCATTTTTAGAGTGATAATTTACCACTTTTAATAATATTTAACTCACGACATATATCCTAGTCGTATTTTATACCTTAATAGTATAGTATGACAAGTAACATATTTTTAAAAAAGAGGTTTTTTTTAGGTCATTAATGATATCAAATAAAATAGTCATCTCACAAGGAAGTTTATTATATTCCTAAACAATTTAACTGTGCATTTTAGCAAAAGTTTCACGTTAAATTATTTATCTTTATCCCTTAAGCCTATCAATTGTAAAATTTGTAATTGCTACCTGATTCTACGCAGATAAATAGTAACAAAAGTATTCTGATGTTATCACAGAAAAAAGAAGAGAATTTATTAATTCGTGTCAAGTCTTTTTTTGTGTGTTAATTTACCTTCTTAACGATGAAAAAGCCACTCCAGTCGTGGAGGCTGCTTCAGTTCTGGTTACAACCCTCTCACAACTCTTTAACTCCGAAACACAAACCATGACGAACAAAACCGCTACGCGGAGAAACAAGTTGAGCGCGGTAGTACCAGGGACGTGGTGGTGATCGAACTCAGAACTTCTCGATTATGAGGCGAGCGCTCTACCACTACACCATTACTTTACTACCGTTGAATAACAACCTAGACAGGTATTATTCGACGATTTTAGCGGTGTATGTATAGCACAATAATAATAAAATGTTACCTAAACTTAGTTTACTATTTCTTACTATGTAATGTTTTAAATAAAAACGACATTAAAGAAACGATACACTTCATGCTACACTAAAACTTTATTTTAAAAATAAGATCAAAATATCTTTACACGATATAAATAGCAAAATAAAATAACATGGTTTTTAAGTTCTTTTAAAAAATATCAACTTGGTTGAAACTTGGGCATTTTTGGAAGAAATTCGACTTTTCCACATGGAATTACAAGCCTATATAGTATAGAAATATAGTAAAATATAAATAGTATCATAAAATCGTAACAAATACAAAAAATAATAATAAAAGTACCTGCTTTTGTACCAGAAGAGTACTTATTAAATGCATTGATCAATATATGTCAATAAATTGATTTATAAAATGAACTCTAAATGTGTGCCAGAAGGATTCGAATTTATAAATCATATAAATGTTAAAACAGCCATGGATCAACATGCCAGAATAGTCTATACTTTTACAATATTCTATAAAATTATAAATTGATCAAATATGTCATTATAATTAAAAATTACATAGTCATATTCTTAAATACTACTTTTGGTATAGTTGTAATAGCAGCTATAGTTAACTGCAACCGCAACAAATGTAAGTAAATAAAGAATTGTCTTTAATAACTGTGATAAAACTTTAATAACTGTAATAAAACGGAAGCTTTACACCGTATTTGCGCATGCGTCACGCTTGCGCATAACTGACTGTCTACTTATTTAACGTTCTACTTATTTAACACGACACCGTTTTTAGTTCTTGAGATAAGTTGAAAAATTTTCTCGCTTACACTAATAAAAAACAATAACGCTTGATCTCATCGCTTAGTATAATCGAGTCGAAAAACACGAAAAAAATCAAAACAAATGCATGTATACTATATTCAGTTGTTCATAAACTATATCACACAAAGCAGTTAACATTATCTGATTATTACAATAATATATTAAAATATGAGAATTATTTTTTTTGCTACTAATTACTAATGATTAACTGTTTTTTTAGCGCCGCATTTTAATAATTAATGGTTACTTGGAAAATTATTAAAACAGTGCTTCAATAGGCACCAGTGGCGGATTTAGTATAGGGCGTGGGGGGGGGGGGCAAGCTGCCCCTCCCCCACGCCCCCCTAGAACGGTCTAACGGCGCCCCCTAAAATAATTAAAATATATATATAAGATTAAATTACTGAAGGCAACCCCGGTCGCCCCTATTTATTGACTTGGCCCCCCCGCGACGCTAAACCTCAATCCGCCACTGATAGGCACTTCAACATTTTTTTTAAAAAATGTAAAATGAAAACAAAACAAACTCCGTAAGTTAGAGCTAAACATGATCAGTTAAAAAATAACAAACTTATTGTTATATTATTATTAGTTGAAAACTTATTGAACTTTTAAATCACAAAATTTAAGATTTTTTTTGTATGACTTTTGAGGTTTTTAGCGACTTAACGTTTTTAAGAATCGCGGCAACGTTTCCAAAGTAATAATAAACAAGACCGTTACTATTCAAAACTAAGAATATAGTACCAATAAAAACTATAGTAAATGGACTTTTAATGAATAGGAAACAACCCACATTTGACATAATAAATCTTTATAATAAATCTAATTTTTAAAAAAAATTTATTTAATGGTAATGCAAAATAGGTTTTCCAAAATAATAAACTGGTTTTAAAAACTTAATTTCAGTCTTGAAAATTGACCAGTGCTAAAAAAAAAATTTTTTTTAAGTTTACTTTTTGATGGGAGGCATATTTTTTGTGTGATCTACGCTTACCGTTTAAAAACATGCACATTATTAGCTTAATATAATGGTATAGTTGATTTTTTTATTAAATCAAAAAAACACTAAATGCCTTCAAAAATATTTGGGTTATAAAATGACCTTAGTTTTTGATTCAAATTATCTCTAAAAACGAAAACCTTAATAAAATATTTTTGGTACTGTTGATAAGCTGTGGTTCTACTTTTTGGAATAAACAAATAAAAAGTTTTTGTATTTTAAGTCATCGGATGCACGATTGAAGAACATACAACTCAAACTTTTTTGTCGGCATAAAACCTCAGATCTTTTTTCTTTAGCCGTGTTTTATCGATTATCGATATTACACGCTCAGATGTTGAAGTGCCTAGCTTCAATAACTTTAAAAGTAAAATTTAAGAGATGGACATATTACGTAGGAATATTTTGAATCATGGAGTTATTCACTGCTCTACTCCAGACATAGTTGCAGGATTAAACAAAATATATGTAGTTGAACGATACAATTACTATGAACATAATATTTAAATGACTAAAGCTAAAATAAAGAATCAAATGAGTTGAAGCTTGTAAGAAGCTTTACACACAAGTAAAATTTATACACAAGTAAACCAAGTAAACAACAGCTAAGTTCTAGTTTTCTACTAAAAATGACCCGATGCTTATGTAAACCTTCAAATAAAACTAAACAAAACAAATAAGTATATAATAAAAGTTCCTAATTTAAAGGATGTTGCACAAAATAAATTAAAGTTTGAGTACGCAAATTTGAAAATACAAATGGACATATTTGTAAACACAAATGGAAAATTTGAAGTAAAAATGTTTCATTTCATAACATGATATGAACATATACAGAAACGAATTCATTTTTTTTAATAATTATGTTTACTAACTATGCAGCTATATATCCAGGGCCGTACCAAGAGCGGGGCCAGCCGGGCCGCGGCCTGAGGCGCCAAAATTGGGAGGGCGCAAAATTCCCCAAATTAATTAATTTATTTTCACATTATAAAACTAATTTGCGTGGCGTCACTTTTATGTTGATAAGAAAATTAATTAAAATTGCGCCTCCTGACGAACTTTAAAATAAAAGCTCATTTACCAAACAGAAGAGCGCCCTTAAACACTAAAAAGTTGTATTTTCTGAACATTATTTTTTATAATGAATCGTGCAAAAAAATTATCTGTTGCTGAATTTAAGAACGACAATTAAAAACCAATAATTATTTATAATATAAACAAATGATTCATTAAGGATCATATAAATTAATTTAACGCACACATTAAAAATTATTCTAAAAAGAAAAAAATATAGAAAAAAAGAACTTCGAATTTAAAAAAAAGAACGCTTAATTTAAGCGGCTTAAATAAAAAAACAAATGAAATGAAAGCTAAAGAAAGTAAAGTAAGCAAATAATAATAAAAATAAAGAGGGAGAAGAAAAGAAAAAAGAAAAAATAAATAATAGAAGAGCGCAATTAAAAAATAAAAAGTTGTATTTTCTGAACATTATTTTTTACAATGAATCGTGCAAAAAAATTATCTGGTGCTGAATTTAAGAAGAAAAGAAGAGACTGTCTTGAAAGTGACGCAAAACTAAGAAATTGTTTCAAGAAGTGGTTGGTAGCAAACTCTTCTGTGGAAAAACAAATTATTTCAGAGGATATTTGCAATGAAGTTGATAATGATTCAACAGCTGAAGTTGCTGCTACATCTTTAATTACTGACTTAAATTCATATCGTCCATTGGAATTAATTGAAGAGGAGATTTTGATTGGCCAAAGTCAAGACGAATTTGGACCAAATGATTCAGAAGCACAAGAAGATAGAAATTCTCGGCTTTCCAAACCAACTAAAATGAGAAACAGTGAATTTCCTCCTGAAATCTCAGAAATTTCAGCAACCTCAGAGTTTTATCTCTCATTTTAGGCCATGTAGCTGGATCAACACAGTGATCCAGCTACAGAGACGTATTTGAATTTTTGGCGCCCTGGGGCACTGTTCCTTTAAGCGCCCTTTTTTAAGAATAATGTCAACTTTGATATGGGGTGATCATTAAAAAAAAAACATTTTCTATACCAACATATATTAACTTATATTAATCACTATAGAAAATTATAATTTTCTATGTGAGTTTTGTTTTGCAAATGTATTTATAATGTCATTAAAGTTCATATCTATGGTAAGTACAGATTCTATAGATAGAATTGCTAACCTATTAAGACGATCACTTGTCATTCGCGACCTCAAATAAGATTTAACCCTCTTTAATGCTGAAAATGATCTCTCGGCTGAACAATTGGACGTTGGGCAGCATAGATATATTCTTAATGCTATATCTACATAAGGAAACAGCTCTTGAAGTTTTTCAATTCTGATCATTTTATAAACATCTATTATAGTTTTAGGTCTTAAGTTTTCAGTTAAACTCATTAAATAACTTCTGAATTGTATACACTCGTTAGCAAATGAAGACGAAAGGTCATTTTTATATACATTTTGAAGTACCTCTGCTTTTTTGTAAACTTCTGATGGCGAAAGTTTTATTATTTGAAATAAAAAGTTAAATTTTTTATTGGCTTCATCATAGCACAATTTTCTTCTTTCTAGTTCAGAATGAAGTTTATCAATTATAGCATAATATGTATTAATTCTTAAAGAGTCTCGAATTTTAAAATTTGTTTCTTCTTCTCTTTTTTCATCTGCAGTTAGTTTTCTTTTTCTTTTGCGTATTTTTCGATATATTTTGTGTCCTGACTTATTTATTGCTCTCTCTTCATAGATATCAAACATACTCCTTAAATCTAATACATATCGAATTAAAGATTCGTATAAACTTACAACTGTTTCTAAATCAATCTCAACTGACTGCAATTGTTTGCTAGTTTTGTTGAATCTCTCTAGTATATCGCCCCATAATGTGGCCATTATAGCTGTTTCAAGACTATCCAGTTTTAAATATAGCCCGTTAGCTTCTGATCTTGTAATAGATTTTTCTGTTTTATCATCTTTGATAAAAGACAGTGCATTAATTATTTCAATCCAATTTTTGTTTAAACTAATACTTGCATCAGATCTTGCTGACCATCTGGTATCTGATAGTTTTTTAAGAGATATATTTTCTGTTTTAATCAAATTCTTCTGAAGTATTTCCCATCTATAAGTAGAGGCACTGAAAAATTTATAAATATTTTGAAGCAGAATAAAAAATTCAGAAGCATAAATACAACAGTCCACAGCGCACTCACCAACAAGATTTAAAGAGTGTGCTGAGCATGGTACAAATGTTGCTAAAGGATTAACTTTTTTAATGCGAGCTTGAAGTCCTGTGTATCTACCAGACATATTAGACACATTGTCGTAACTTTGACCACGACAATTATTAATATCTAATCCATGCGATTCTAAAACTAAAAATACAGCATCTGCTAATTTTTCAGATTTATGACCAGAATTAGGTAAAAACCCTAAAAATCTTTCTACCGGACAGCCATTCTTTTGAACATACCGAAAAATGAATGACAGTTGATCTACATGGCTAATGTCAGGAGTAGAATCAATACTGATGGAAAAGTATTTAGCTTCCTTTATTTCTTTCACCATTTGTTGAATAACATTATCTGCCATTATACTTATGAACTGCTCATATATATTAAATGATAGGTATGATGTTGAACCTTTTCCTTTATTTCCAAACTTCTCAATGTGTTGTGCTAAAAAAGGATCAAACTGAGCAATAAGCTCTAAGCTCATCATAAAGTTCCCATTATGAACAGATCCAAAACGGTCATCATCACCTCTAAAAGACATTCCACGAGAAGAAAGGGATTTCACAACAGCTACAACTCTTGTCAATACATTTTTCCAATAATTTGTTTCTGTTTCTACTTGATACTTTAGCTTTTGATCAACTCGATTTAATACTTCTTTTCTTTCTTTCATATTCATTACACACAATTTGTGGTGTTGTGAATTTTCATGACGCTTGATTTTTTCTTCTCCTTTTTTCCAATCTGAAAAACCAACTGTGGCAAACGATGTAGTGCCACCAAATAAATAGCAGGGAGCACAAAATATTGATCCTTTACTTTCTGAGTAAATCAAAAATGTTCGGTTAATTTTTTCACCATTAACAAGAGTAGATATAAATATACTTTTTGACATATATCGAAAACGAGTACGTCTTACCCCACCAATTATTTGAGTGTAAATTCTTTTTGACTTTTGGAAATTATTGTTCTCTAAATTTTGGTTAAATCCATTGATTGATAAATAATCTATCGTTTCTTGATTTTTTATCCAATTGGCAGGATCATTTCTAAAGGGAAAATATATTTGTTTAATATACAAAAACCAAAAAATATTATTCAAAGTTTATAACAAATTGTATAAAAAAAATATTCAAGCATTAGGTAATAGAGATAAATGCATAATATAATATAACTAGAGGATATAGGTATCGTTTAAAATGTACAGAGTGTACTATATTTGTTAATAATTTAATTTCCAGCATAATTTTACATGACAAGCGACTTAAAAAAATAGTCTACCTTTGTACATGTTTATAATTGTAACCTACCATGAAAAAAATTAAAAAAAGCTTACTCAGGAACAATACTTTGTTTAGGAAGACTGTTATGTTCAACCATTGGCAAACGTGGTGTATCATTTATTTCTTCCGATTCTGTAGACAATAGAGTTTTACTCGTTTCTGTGCTGCTGTTATTTAGTAATATAAGATTGTCTGGATTTGTTAGATTATCTTTATTAACAGTGAATCTGTGATCATTTTGGTTTCTATAGAGAAAAATATAATAAATTTTGTATAACATGCATGTACCAAAAGATATTATTTATTAATTATATCAAATTTTAAATAAAGATTTTACAATAAACATTCGGGCTTGTTATGTTCATGCATGGACAAACAGGGTGTTTCATTTAGTTCTTTGGATTCTGGAGTCAATAGAGTTTTACTAGTTTCAGTACAGCTCTTACTTGATAATATTAATATTAAATCGTCTGGATTTGATAGGTTATTCTCATTAACAATAAAGCTGTGATCATTTTCATCGCTTGTATTATTTACATTTTCAACTGAAAGCATAAATAACGATTACTACACATATCTACATTTTAGATATAAATTATTTACATTTAATAATAAGTAACATAACAATATGAAGTATAAACAATAAATAACAGAACAATATGTACCTATATGTATATATATTTGCTAGAAAGCAAAATTAATAAAACGTATGGTTTTCTAGCTAAATAAACTTACCCGGCGATGTGTGAAGCTGTTTATCTGTAAAGCTAAAATATGTTTCTAACTTAGCAGTCTTTAAAAGTATTTTTGCTTGAGCTTCATTTTTTGCATGGGTTCGTTTTCGGTTTTCTGCGCCACTAAGCTTTTTACTATGAATCATCATTGCTTTTTAAAATAAGAATCCTAAAAAGTGTGTATTATATATATATTGTTATCATATATATATGATAACAATAATGTTAATACTAAAACTAAAAACAATAATCGAAATACGAATATTTACCTTTTTCAAGACTGTATACTGTAATACAAGGGATTAAGGGACAACATACCGAAGAACAAAATACTTAGGCCAACAATAAAAAAAACTGACAGCAATCTTAAAAATTCAAAATTATATTGTGCACACGTGGTATATACAAGATGGTTAGCAAAAAAGGCGATCAAAGTCAAATTGCTAATTTAATATAATTAATGCGTAATTTATTCTGCTCATCACTTCAAATTATATAAAAATAAATTAAAAAACAAACTGATTATTTAAAGTTTTAAGTATTTTTAAAGAGTTTTTTTTTTTTAGAAAATGTAAAGAGAATCTTTGAAGAATTATTTCATTTTTTAAAAGTAAATAGCTGTGTCTATACCTAAGTATTTCTGTTAATAAAGTCAATTAAGAGTAAAATGAAAATGTTAGGTAAAACGCACCATTTATTTTTTTCTAGTATATTATTTACTAATTAATAAATAAGGATCAAGTATTTGATTAATAAAAATTATAAATCATTTATTCAAAAAAAAATATAAATTTTATTTATATCAAGATTAGATAGTATATTAAATAAGAACACTCGTAGGAGTAGACCTCGGAGCGCCAGCGTCAGAGTGATGAGCTTAACCGTTAAGCTATCGCTACATACCGTATCATTAAAATATTTATAATAAATAAATAATTTGTTTAGACACGTGACTTTCAGTATCAAATCAACGTTTTTAGATGAATAATTGGCGCATAATTATGTATAATTTGCAAGTTTAATTTGATCTCCTTTTGATTGATATTTTCTTCTGCTAAATTTTTCTAAAATCAACTAGAGATATTTAGTAAGTCGATAAGTAGGTCTATGATTTGAACATAATAATAATATAAAAATTTTCGTGAAATGATATAAATAGACTATTTTACAATTTTCTAAAATTCTAACATTCTAAAAGCTGGCGCCCTGTCAAAACATGGCGCCCGGGGGCCAAAGCCCCCCCTGGCCCCCCGTAAATACGTCTCTGTCCAGCTACATGGCCTAAAATGAGAGATAAAACAAGGTGCTTTTTGATTCAGCATGGGCCGGAGCAAGAAAGAAGAGAATTTTTCCCAAACACACTTTGTGACTTTGACAACAGAATGCGACACTTCAGCTCAAAATGGAATGAAAAAATTCATCCCAATGGTGAAAAATTTGTTCGCTACTGGCTGCTGTACAGCAACAAAAAAGATTCTTTGTTTTGTTTTTGCTGTCTGTTATTTTCAACGACAAAAACCAACAATTTTTCAGAAATTTCAAAAGGATTTTGTGACTGGAAAAAACTAAACCCAAGAATTCCAGAACACGAAAACAGCAATGAACACCAAAGATGCTATTCTGATTGGAAAAATCTGGAAAAAAATCTCAAGGAAGGAAAGACCTTGGATTCTGATCTGCAGAGAGTTATCAACGGAAAGATGAAAAAGTGGAGAGATATCTTGAAAGTGATTGTTGATGCAATTTTGTTCTGTGCCAAGAACAATCTTGCCCTTTGGGGTTCAACAGAAGTAATTGGAGAGCAAAACAGTGGCATCTTTCTGAACTTAATTGAGCTGATAAGCCATTATTATCCTTTAGTGGCTGAACACGTTGCATCCGTTAAGGCAAAGAAAACCACAACATCCTACTTTTCTCCTTGAATTCAAAATGAGCTGATTGAATTACTTGGGCAGAAAGTCAGGAATGAAATTTTGTCAAATGTCAGAGAAGCTAAATACTACTCTGTTTTGTTTGACTGCACTCCAGATGCCTCCCACAAAGAGCAGATGACCCAAATAATCAGGTATGTCCACATCACTGAGGAAACCTGTACAATTGAGGAAAGCTTTGTGGACTTCATTGAATCTCACGAAAAAACTGGAAAGGGCCTTGCAGCTGAAATCACCGAAAAACTGGAGAAGGATGGCCTGAGCATTTCTGATTGTCGGGGCCAAGGTTACGACAATGGAGCCAATATGTCTGGAAAATATAATGGCGTCCAAGCTCACATCCATTCTCTAAATGAGTTTGCAAGATTTGTTCCATGTGCAGCTCACACTTTAAACCTTGTTGGTGTCCATGCTGCTGAAGTTTCTCCACTCATGATTACATTCTTTGGAAAAAGTTTAAGCCATCTTTAACTTTTTCTCAAGTTCTACCTTAAGATGGGAAAAACTGATGAAAACATTGACCATCTCACTAAAAGGGAAATAGTGATACAAGATGGTCTGCCAAAAAAGAAGCAATCACCCCACTACACAGACAAATCAAAGAAGTTCTTCAAGTTTTGGAATCCATAATTCACACTCCCAAGACAAATGCTGTCTCAGTTTGCAGTGCAAAAGAGCTCATCATTCAAATTGATTTCAGTTTTCTGTGTTTGTTGGATTTTTGGTGTCAAATTCTTTCTTTAATTGACCGGGAAAACAAACTGCTTTAGTATAAAAACATTTCAATTGACATTGCAGCAAAAAAAATGAAAGGACTGAAGGCTTCCATTCAGAATCTGAGAGATGTTGGGGTGGACAACATTATCAAAGCTGCTGCAGAAACAGCAATTGGAATTGAAGGAGACTTTCCTATGAAGAGAAAGCGCAAAGTGAAGCAGATGGCACTTTATGAAGCTGAAGATGACTTTTGCCGTTTGTCACCAGAAACAGATTTCGGATCCCAGTGCAAGCTTGTGTTTGACAGCATTCTCACACAAATTGTTTAAAGCTATGTCTGCAGTATCCTCAGATTTTGACTTCCTCAGTGGACATTCTCTCTCCAAAAGTTCAATGAATGAACTTAAGATTAAAGCCAAAAATTTGTCTAAAATTTACAAGGCAGATTTAGATTCTTCAGATTTCCAGTCAGAAATGGCAAACTTTAAATATCAAGCTGCTGTCATGATGGAAAACTTTGAAAAATCTAGCCCGATGGACATTTTGCAGCTCATTCATAAATACTCATTGACTGATGCTTATCCTAACACGGCAATTGCTATTCGCATCTTCCTCACCTTACCAGTTACAGTTGCCACGTGTGAAAGAAGTTTCAGTAAACTTAAGATCATAAAAAACAATTTGAGATCAACTATGGGCCAAGAACGTTTGTCTTGTCTGGCAGTAGTTTCAATTGAACATGAAATGGCCAACGCACTTGATTTTGATGATGTCATTAGTGACTTTGCCTCCAAAAAAGCCAGAAAAGTGACCTTGAACTGAAGTTTGTGAAACATTGGTGACAAATTGTTCTTTTAACTTGATGCGATAAATTTTGTGATCAATAATTAATTTTTTTTCATGTAAATATATATATATAATGTGTTTTTTGTATATTTTTTTGGGAGGGGGGGCGCAATTTTATTTGCTTGCCCGAAGCGCAAAGTTGGCCTGGTACGGCTCTGTATATATCCAACATTATTTTGTGTCACCAGACTAACACCTTATTGAAAACTAAGTTTTTAAATGTATAACGAGCAAATTGCTTTTCAGTTTTTCAGTCTTTGACCAGATATAAACAATTGCTGGTTTCATATATATATACATACATATATGCATACATATATATATTTATATATATATATATATATATATATATATATATATATATATATATATATATATATATATATATATATATATATATGTATATATATTTAATTTTTGTATTGTCTTTCTGTTGATATTATGTTACCTAAGTTAACATAATGATAACAGGAGAACATTAAAAAAAAAATTTTCAATTCCTTAAGCTATATCATTTTCTAGTTAAGTTAGGAATTTTTTAATTTTTGCTAAATCTAATATAGTATTTTTCAAATTGGCTTAATAGTATAAATTTTAATAGATCTTTGTGTGTTTATTGATTATTTATTTAGTTAAGTAAGATTATTTATTGGAATATTTTGTCATTATTTTAATGTTAAATTTAAAATTTGAGCCTTCAGCGTCATACCTGAATCTTAAACTATCCTTCATTGAAGATTGATATCCTTGATCTACAGAGTACCAAATGTGCGTTTTTTAAAATCGGAAATGGGATAGAATCTTTTTTTTTTTTTTTTTCATTTATGTATTACATGTGTGGAAATTACAATTCTTTATCACTGATAAAGAATTTAGTTTATAATATCAGATCTTGTGGTCTATAAATCTATGATTTATAGGCCCTTTTTAAACAGACTAATAAAATCCGTTGAAAGTTTTCTATATTATTATTTTTTTCAATAAATCTTTTTTTAAAGGATAACAAGTAATAATAAATAAATAGTTATAACTATATAAATTTTTATATTTATCTTTGTTTTACTGTACTAAAATACTTCCTACATTACAGCTTTTAAACGTAAACAAAGGCGATATTAAATTTTGACTCTACGTAGGGACAAAATATTTAAGCTGTACAGCTCAAATATTAGTGCCAAGACCTTCCCGTATGAAACTTGCTAATTGAAATTTATTTATATTTAGTTAAATATTATAATAAATATATATATGTAAATGTAATTTTTTTAATAAAAAATCTTCGAGACAGCTTTTTAGATGTAATAACATCGATTGACAAATAGGGATTGGTGCAATTAAATGTACATGGTTAGGGTTAGGGTTTGGGTCAGAATCAGTTAGAAACTCGTGGATTTTGATTTAAATAGTTTTTTTTGAAATGTCAATAAAAATCGTGCTGTTTTTAAGTTAACTAAAAAAAAGAAACTAATCACATTTCGTGTATGAGGAAATTGGCGATTATTAGCGTTTTAAGTGTAATTTTTTAAACTTCAACATCAAATTAGAGTGCCATCCTTAAATTTTCAGGTAAATTTTTTTATAAAAATCTTAATCAACATGAAATTCTCTATCAAAATCAATCATAAAATGATAGGGGTAGAAAACTGAAACAGTGCCGCAATTTGATCATACAATTGATAAAGTGATGTCTCCGAAAGAAAATGTCTACTTGGGATAAGGTATCTTGGTTGTAAAAAAGCCATTAAACCAATATATCCATCATCCTCGGTTATACTAAATGGTTGATTATCTAATGCAATCATAATAGCAGTTTTTGTATGAATTTGCTTAGACTTTTCATCATTAATATCTCATATTTTCTTTGATGTAAAACTATCTTCAACAGACATCTGTTTTTACATTTCACACTTCTTTGAAATCAATGAGCTACATTTTAAACTTCCTTGAGCAGCTGAAGAACATTCCATTTCATACTTTTTTTCCTCTTCATAAAATTTACAATGAAATTTTTGTGCGTGATTATGCAGTGAAGTTGTAGAAAACTGCTGACCAGATTTACTACACCCCCTGCTTATCTGCTTTCCACATGGAATGCAAATAGCTATGGAATCACAGCTATAACTAATTTTAAAAAGTTTCCAAACAAAACTCGCCATTTTGAAGGGTCATTATGGTAACTTTTGTCTCAATACAATTTTTATCTTAAAGTTATATTACATTATCCGTATCCGGCCGGATACAGATAATTAATAAATTTACGGGTATCCGATCTCCGGCCGCATAATTAAAAAATATTATTCGGGACACCCCTAATATTAAGAATCTTGTTTGAAAAAAAAAAAAAAAGCCTATGAGAAAAAAAAGTGGGGAAGCACGTGCCTCTCCCTTGGCCCTTTCCCCTTGTGTCGTCGGCACTGGAGTTTACTTCAGTCATTTAAGCAAAAACAAATTTAAAAAAATATTTTTTTGTTATTAAGGTGCTCAATGAAGTCTAAACGGTCTTTTTGCAGAGCATGTGATTAATTTTGGTTCTTTAAGCTCCAATGTCGTCAGACCTAGACAATGTTGTCAGACCTAGACAATGTCGTCAGACCTAGACAATGTCGTCAGAACTAGACAATGTCGTTAAACCTAGACAATGTGATCCTATGTAATATTCATCAAACCAAAGTTTGATTAAAAGCATAAGACTGAGAGAAAAATAAATTATAGGTTTTTAATTAAGTGATAAAGTCAAAAAATATTTTAGACTCGAAATTATAATATTTATAAAAATCTTATTTTTGTCAGCAATATTGCTGAGAAAACGTGACGTTAGAATAATTGGGTTTTATCTTCCTTTTGTACTTTTTAGAGAATTTAACAAAATTTGTTATACTCTCTTCAATTTTTAAAATTAAAAGTAATAATTTGTTAAATTCGTTAAATTTAAAAGATCAAGGTATCAAATTTGTTAAATTTATTGCTTAAAATGTGCATTTTAATTTATTATTTATTAAGTAATATAAACTGGTACAAGACAAAATAGCATATCGGCAGATGAGAATAATAAGATTTTATCTTTAAATTTCATTTTTAATATTTATTTTTTTATTTATGTTATTTTTGTGTTTAAAATGGTATGTTTTTATCTATTAATCTTTCTCTTTTTATTTATATAACTTTAAAAATTGTTAGTTTGTTTCTTCACTGTCAATATCAACCTTTTTTTTATAAAGCTGAAATTAACAAATAATTTGTAGTCAAGCAATTTTAAAAATAATGAAATTAATAATGTAAGTTTAATTAAAAAACATAAAAAACATAAAAAAACATTTATTTTATTAATATAAACAACAATTCGCGAAAATAACAATTTCGGATAGTTTCGCATTAATGGCCCCCTATCAACTTCCCGCTTGAAAACACAAAAGCCAAATGTCCAAGATTCAATTTCTGTGATGTTATAAACAAAAACACTTTTTTTAGAAAAGTTTTAATTAGTTTTAGAACTGTAATTTTCATATCAAGATATGAAGTTTCGTGCTAAGCTTGTTGATATCGGCTGCATTCAACAGTTTACTAGTATAGCATTTTTTTCATATTTTTGTTTAGATTTTGTGGAGGATAAAGTGTGAAAACAAGACGTTGTTGTTAAACAACAATATGTTTTGTTTCCGCAATTTAACAACTTGTTTTAAAAAAAAAATTAAAATTTGTTTGATGATCTTTTATTTTTAAAAATATAAAGCCATGTAATATCTATGATAAATGTTTATTTTTTATGTTGAATTTAAGAAAGGGAATACTTTAAACACAACTTTTCTGTTTCTTGTGACTTTATAGACAACTGTAAATTATAATAATTTGTTTGTTTTTTAAAATAAAAAATGGTCACAATCAAAGTGATGCTGTATATTAAAATAATTTGATTATTTTTTAAAATACAACTAATCACAAAATTAAACCTAATCAAAGTGGTGCTGTAACCATTCATTGTGAGTTCCCTATATTACTTTTTAGATAATTTGCTTCATTTTACCAAAAAAAGCATCAATTGGGTTTTTTCTTGCTTTTTAATGTTGTTGTTGTTGTTGATGTTGTTGTTGCTGTTGTAACAAACTGTAAAAGCTATAATTGTGTCAAAATCAAATTTCTTTGAGCTAGGTTTTCTATATTTTTTTAGATATTTTGCTTCATTTTACCAAAAAAAGCATCCTTAAGTTTTTTTTCTTGCGTTTTGATGTTGTTGTTGTTGTTGTTGTTGTTACAAACTGTAAAGCTATAATTGTGTCAAAATCAAATTTCTTTGAGCTAGGTTTTCTATATTTTCTTAAAATAACTTCTGTTTGCAGTTGTTCAAATAATGTATTATTTACTTTTTTTTTAGTCATTTAACAACTGTAAAAGTTGCCCACAACTTTTACAGTTGTTAAATGACTAAAATGTTTTTTACTCAAAAATTACAGTTTTGTAAGCCTTATGCTTTTGTACAGTTAAAAAAAGCAGCTTACGATTTTGCTAAAATAGGCTTTCCACTGTTTATTTCATATAATATTAGTGTTTATTATTTAAATAAAATCTTTAAGTTCATTTCTTAAACCTTACAAGTTTTTTAAATATTTTTAGAAGTGCTCTCAACTGTCAGCAAAATATCTAAGACATGCACACTGAGGTTATCTCAAGATCAAGTTGTATTGACTCAAAATGAAAAAGCTGTCAATGGAGGAACAAGTTTTTGGTGTGAAATGAATCAGGTTATTATCATTATTAAAAATCAATTTTCAATATGATTATATAGATTCTGGATCATGGATTAGCATAACACTTTTTTCTGGTTGAATAATATCAGATTTAAATTAAATAGAAAGTTGCAATAAAGGATCACAGCACCACTTATATTTGTGTATTTAATTTTTCTAAACTTAAGTCCTAATAAGTCTAAACTTCAAAGAACAGGAAGAAGAAAATATAAAAAGACAATTATTTAAAAGAAAAAAAAGCTTTGAAATAATTAAAACAATAAAAAAAAATTTGTTATCTTAAATAATACATTTTGTGAAATTTACTGAAACTAAAAATAAAAATGAAGAGTCTTCACTTAACCTTTTGTTAAAATTAAATGTTTGAACTAAATTTAGACCAAAGCATTAGCTTTGTTACACTAGGTATTTAAAATCGGATATAGTTGGGTGTGTAATTAAATGAAAGCTGAATGAATTTTTAGCATAAGATTACAAGAAATATGTTTTAAATATAGACTCTAAATTAAAGGAAAAAAATAATGTTTAAAAAATTCCAAAGGTGGTGGGATTGTTTATATTAATTTCTGATGAGTCTTTATTGATAAAACACATTGTTAAATGAAAAAAACTTATCCCAAGTGATTTTCTACTACTTTATAATTGCTCTGTTCTTTTAAAAACATTGAGCACTCTATTTTTGTAGAATACATTTTAAAATTGTTTAAATATATTCTAGGCTCCTTATTAACATTTGTTAAGCACTCTTATTTGTATTTTAACATTCCATGTATAATAATTTCACTTACTCATTGAAAAATGAACCTATACTAGATGAAAAAAGTTATACTATTTCTTTGATTGAAAAAGTTGAGCATTTTAATAAAAAAGTTTGATGGAAACCATTTATACCTGATTTGGAAAATTTTGAAAATGACCTATTGCACTTAATTAAAACAATAAAGTTTCGCCCTATAAAAAAAAAAATTTCAAACAGAATTAGATGTTAAAAAAGTTAAATCAAACCCTAATATTTTGGCTTTTGCTGATAAAACAGATAATATTTACCAACTCACAACAGAAGACTATGAAAAAATCTTACTCAACAATACTACTTCTTATGAGAAAGCCCTAAAAATATGGAAAATGCAATTAATTTAGAAGAGAAAAGTATTGCTAAAAACATAAATGGGTAAAAATTTCTCAAAAAACACAAAAAAACACAAATCTGCACCCTATATCACCAAAATTTTTGAAACTTGGCACAAATGTTTATAGACATATGTTAGGAAAGATTGTAATTTTTTTTCATAAAATTCCTTACCGTTTATAATTTACAGCAATTTAAAGTTTCCTTGATTTTGACTAAAAACTGAGGAAAAGTGTCAAATATCATTCCGTTTACTTTCACCTTAATATGGTGGTTGTAGTGATGCCACAATTCTGAAACTAAGTACCAAAAGAGTTTAAAACCTGTTAAATCCCAAAAATATAGTTTTTTATATTTCAAAACAAGGGAATGTAGCTTATTTTAAGATCCATAAAATACACTTTATAACGCCGAGAAAAAGGGCATTGACAATTATAGCTATAAAAAAAATCTGACTGATATAAAAAAAATTTAATTTCGATTTTCTTAAAAATAAGATCAATACCTACTTTTCGAACCAATTTTGTTTTGGCCTTATATTTACTTGAGTAATTATTGATATTTGATATAGACACAAAATTTTTTAAATTAGACACTTAATATAACTCCACCTTTTACCGATCAATCAAATTAGAAACTAAAAATTTAGTGACTTTATTATCTTTTTCATTTACATATGATTTACAACAAAATTTAAACATATATAAATTTTTTTAAAAAATACTAAACTTTAGTGATTTTATATATGCTTTACATTCACATTATTTACAAGTTGGTTCACAAAACATAATATTTAAAAAAGGAATGGATAAGACATAATAGACTCATGAATATAAAAATCTCTACTTCCTTAGGAAAATAATTTTTTTTAAGTCCTCTTTGGCTAAATAGTAGCAAAGTCCTGTTTTTGTTATCGGTACCTCAACTTTGCAAATAATTTGGACATCAGGAATCCAGTATTGACTTTCCTTTGGTGGCCATTTAAACAACCCTGCAGGACCATTAGGACACATAAATTTTACAAGCACATCTTTTTCTTCTAAATTAATATCTTCAATGACTCCTATCCACCACTTTTGCACATAGGAAACACAGGCATAATCACCTGGTACTAGGTTTACAGTTGTTATCTGGATAATTCCAAAGTCATGAATTAAAGCAAATTCTTCATCAACACTGCATAGCTTAGTGCCTACCTAAACAAAATAGTAACATATGCAATTATTCCGTTTTACTTATCAAACATGTTTTGTTAAATGCATAGATAGCAAATGCAGAGGAAATAAAATAAAATACAAATATTTTTGATAATGATTCTGCAAAAATCTAATATCTATTTGAGTTTATCAATAAAAGTTATGCGTGTATTTTAAAATATGGTAAAAGGTATAATTAAAAAATAATAATTTACCTTTTGATGGTCAGGTAGTACAAACTGATGGTAACTACGTGTTCCAAGTATTGTATTAGCAGTATCCAATCGTTCTTTAAGAGCGGTTCTCACCAAAGTTAAATCTTCTGATGAAATATATATGAAATTTATGCCTTCAATGTTTTCATTGCAATATTTATACATTGTTTGTGGAGATAAAATATAATTACCCATATCTCTTTGCAAACTTGCTAGTGTTGCCAGACATTTGACTGTACCACCTATCCCATCACAAGGTTGCTTACCGTGACTAGTTGCAAAAAATTTCCATTTAGCAGTAAAACCAAAATCTTCACAATGGAAACAAAGATTTAACATTTTTTTGCAATTCTTATATTGACCTGCACACCCATCTGAAAAGTATTCAATATTTTTTATTTGAGGCAAATTTGTTTTTATATCATTGCAAACAACCTCAATAATTTTATAAACCATGTTCACATCATGGATCATATCATCTGAAATAATACAATAGGATTTGTGCTTGAGAATGCCTTCTTTTTTGAAATAAATAATCACTGGATGAAGTGTACATTGTAAATTTGTCCAATGAAAGCTTTGTACTTCATCCTGAACTACAAATTTATAGTTTTCTGAAAAATCACCCAGTAATAATGCTGTTACCTCATTCATATCTTCCTTTCTTGATCTCAGGTATAATGCTTGACTCTTTGGTAAATACAAATGTGGTACAAGTTTTTCCAGTTTTCTACATACTAGTTCAATGTATTCAAACACTAACTTTTTATTATGTGTCAAGTTTGACATATCTGTTGTTGTCCATTGATCAAATTCAATCTCATCATCTTCAAATTCTCCAAGTATATCATAAAGTTTTTCAACCAATGCATTCATGTTGCTGGGCATTTTTCACATTTCCTCATCATACAGTCTTTATTAGTTATATCACAGACAAAATAAGGTAACAATTCTTTGTATGTCACACCAAGAGGATGTAAAAGCAGTTTCAAATTCTGATGAATAGCACAGACGCATACAGAGTGTGTTCCTGAGGCACCAACAGTAATACACCATTTAGGTCGCAAGGTGCAAAACCTTGAAAATCCTATTTTTATTTCTGGGTTCTTGGTTTTAAAGACAACAAACAATTCCTTTAAATTACATATGAGCAAATGTTTTTGCATGTGGACATTTTTCTTTATGCTTGCATAGTCCTTTTTACCAGACATTATACAGCTATGTTCATCGTCTTCGTAAAAGGCCTTGACCAGTTGAACTGTTACATCAGGAAGAGCTTTTCCTAATTTAGGATTAGGCATGGTTAAAATACCTTTTTTTAATGTTAACTTACGTGCAGTTCGAGCTACATAGTTTGTTACATGCAATGTTTCAGATACTTTTTTATTGACCAGTCTGTTGGAGCAAGTGTCGCAAGTTGTACTTTTTTTGATGTTGATGTAGACTCTGCAATTTTGTTAGTTAACAATACCATCATGTTATCAAACAAGTTTGCTTTTTCCATATACTCATTATTAAAACTTGACTGTTCTTCAAAACTTTCTTCTGATATATTAAGGGAAATGGCTACCTTTTTTTTAATGGAGGTTGTTAATGCTGTCAATTTTTCGTTTACCTTCTCTGATTTTACCTGACTTGTGCAATCCTTTGACCTTAATTGGAGATACTCCGGCAGATGCAAAGTGTGTATCTACACTTTCTTTTTTATTTTGAATGGATCTTTCATAAAAAATATCAAAATCTTCATCATTTTTATTTTCACTTATACTTTTTGATAAACATGTCATAACTTTACTTCGACAGGTTGGACATTTTTTCCAGGTATAAAATTAAAACATATGGTTTCTGCTTCTAACACAGTATGCATTGTAATCACACGTAGAGATGCTTAAAAAGAAAGTAATTACATTACTTAAATAACATTAATTATATATATTATCAGGCTTGGTCGGGAAGCAGGAGCGATCGCTCTCGATTGCTGACCACGTAAATAATATTTAGTTGCGAAAAGCTGGCCAGATTTTTATATCGTTTTGAGAACATTTTAAAAAGCAAAAAAAAAAAAGCAACGAAGATTAATTGGACTGATGAGAGACAATTACAGGAAAAAAAAAAAAAAAATACGCAAATAAAATATCTTTAAACGCGAAAAAATTTAAAGCTAAATAAATTACATTTAGAACAAATATTTTCGAAACATCGCTCTTTTATAATTTTTTTTTATAAAATTAAGCGATGTTTTTTTATATAAAGTAACAACTTACGATTGTTTAAAAGGGAAACAAATATTTTTTATTTAACTAAGTTTGCAAGTTTTAGTTTTACTTAAGCTTAATTTATTATATAAATAAAAAAGTTAAAAATAAAAAAATACCTATTTTATGTTTCGCATAGTTTAAAAAGTTTAACATATTTGAAGCGATTCTTCTTAGTAAGATAAACAAATGAAATAAT